TGATATAAAAAGCAATCTTCACACTAGAAAATGTAGGTATTTAAGTAAACTATTAAATGGCAATATGTTTTTCTTAAAAACATAAGGACTCAAACGCAAAAGTATCCTAGATTTGTGTTCATTTAATCTCTCAGACTACAAATGATATTTGGAATCTAAAGTAAGGGCCACTTTACTTAGAATTCATGTGTGCTGGGAAAAAGATGCAGCCCCTACCTACAAGTCTGATGCTGTGTAGTCAGGTTGCATGTCAGCAAGACTGTATATCCGATCACCCTGATAAGCCAAGGTTCAGGAGAAGCCTGATCAATCAAGCGTTCACACTGAGCCATTCGATAGCGAGACTACCCTCTGCTGTCGATGATTCTATCTACAGATAATCTGTTGACGGTTAGTCTGTTGACGGTTAGTCCACGGTTAGTCTGTTGACGGTTAGTCCACGGTTAGTCTGTTGACGGTTAGTCCACGTAACCAACAGCAAGTCAACAAGAGCCGCCCGATGTCGATGTTAAAATTTATGGTACTAATTAAAAATTTGTTGATTTTTAAACGTTCATCATTGGGAAACATTTAATTTAGAAATTACATGTATAGTCACAGATTACAAAATACCCATGTTTTAAATTTTCAGAACGTGTTGAAACAGTCTGAACTGCAGTGAGTGCGCAATTTTTGGCATTCATTGAAAGCCATGCAACTGACGGCCTGCGTAAGATTTTTTTTTATTTTGAGATTTGATAAATTTGGTTAATTGCGCAACAATTTTGGGGATTCATAAAAAATTTTAAAATTTCTGGCATTTTCCGAATAATTATTATTCTTACAGAATATTTAGGTCATTACTGGCGAGAACGAGCAACACCTAAGAGGACCATCAGGCCGCAAGCTAATCCGAAAGTCCTCTCTTGAGGTCAAAATGAGATGAGCGAGTGTCCTACCGTCTGTCGTATGGCTAATGGTATCCTATAGAGACTTGTTTATATTGATAGCTCACTTGTTGCTTTTCGCTCCACAAGGCCTGGCATCAGATAGTGCGATGACTTACAGTTCCAGCCAATGGCCGAAAACAAAAACTCTGTCAAATACTTGCCAATTATGCAAATAGTTTTGTATACAAACTGCACCTAAGTACAAGGAAGCTAATTTGAAACCATATATTGTGTGCAGGAAACAAATGACCCCACTCTTTAACGATGTACACGCCATCGAAAAGAACCATCACTTAGGATGTTTGTTATTCAGAGGCAGGGTGCCGAGGAAGAGATTTCCCCTTTGGAGGATCGTCGCTTGGCTTTTTTCTGCCCTTCACTCCTGCCTCTTCAGGTGTGATGGCAGACAAGCGGCCCTTCAAACAGAATTCTGAATATGTATGTTTCAGGCTCGAAAGCTGGTATGAAGCCACAGGATATGTGGGTAGATATGAAGACATATTTCTGCATGGCAACGACTGTCATAAGTTTAATGCTGGAACAGCATCGAGTTGACGTTTATTAGCGCCTCTGTTACAATTCCTAGACGATTTCTAGGCCGACGGTCCCTCGCTGTTGGACATCCCAGATCTTTACGCAGCAAGTTTTTCGTAGAATTTTTTTATGGTGAAGTAGCTGCATACATCATTTTTTATGAGTTCAAAGGGAGTTGTTGCATGAATGTAACTACTGGAGTGTTATCACGCAGGAATTTTGAGCACCCAACCAACCTGCAGCAGAAGAAGACCTCATAAAGCCCAGTCTGGGGCCTCTATATAAGAATGTTGATGGACACCAACGTCCGCTACTGCTCTTGTTCGCAGCAGGACTCAACTGCGAGCTCTCTCACGTGCCTACAACAAGAATAATACCTCGCCATGCCTCTATCGAGGAACTTCACTCAGATGCTGCAAGGGCTGACCAGCATTGCAGTTCTAACTTGTTGCAAACATGATTAGAAGAAAACATCGCTGGTTCTTCAGCTTCGTTTGACAAGAAATGTAATGTCGATTATTCTGGCAAATGTCTTCAAGTTCGAGGTTCGAGGGACCAATCAGAGGTCTATGTAGAAACCAATGGCAAACTTTACTCTTTACTTAAACACTAGATTGACTCACGATATATTACGTGTACAAACTCAATTAGGTGTTTTGGATTCTGTTGTTATTGTGAAATGAGTTCAATGAAACATCGAAACCAGCATTATGTTGCTTGCAATTTTAAGGTGAGATACTGTATATTAGGACTGACATTATATTAAACTAGGACAGGAAGGGTAACGACGAATTAAATTTTTGATTAAAATTAGTTCATAGTTCAATTCGCTGCATGAAAATTCCCTAGCATTTTCTGAACGGATACTCGAAATGTTCAAAAATTCTGGAACAAATACAGCTACTGTCGAGTTTCCTGCGCAAGACAAGTGCAGAACTTTTCAGGCAGCTGTAGCGTCCCCCAAATGTTTGCAAGATCCTGAGTGTTTGGACCAAGTGCACTCGGAAGCTCAAGTTTCCGTTTACTGTAATAGCAGAGACTAATTTTCTTAGCACCGAATACACTTTGCGCTTCGTTCGCACCTGCCCGGAATACATTTTTCGGCGTACATTTTTGGTTGAGTCATTCCGGGAGTACATTTTTGGTTGAGTAAAATTTTCGTCCCGGATTTTCCCGACATTTTACATTTTTGACATTTTTGGCAGAGCGTATAATCGCTTCAAAGAATCACGCTCATGTTTTCGCAATTAACATGTTGATTTTTTTCTTAGTTTATTATAGAGTGGGGAGAAGTGGATCTCGTTTGGATTTTGTCGACGAGTAAGCACGAAATGTTAAAACATTGACTGAATAAACGCTAGTAATCAATGTAATCGTTTCAACAAAATCTAATTTTGTGAAACTCTAAGCCTCTAACACTCATCTGATTTTGTTCCTTGCTAGTTAATCATGCCCATGATCAAATAGCGGCACTCCAATGTTGAGAAAAATTGGAGAAAACCCATTTAACAACACTAATTTGTTACAAATGAAATAATAATAATCGTGGGAAAAAATCCCGTTTAAGAACACTAATTTGTAACAGTAAATCATTCACAGAACATCGGTCCAAGGAACCGCGAAGCATCGAACTCATTGCAAACGAGATTATTTGCATTTTTGTTCATTTCGCGATTTAGTTGCGGTCTCTTATTCGCTTATTGGAATTGAATAAAGCATTGGTCAGCTGGTGATTACAATCTAATTTTTCAGTGATTTGCGTTTCTTCTCAATTTTTTTTCGAACGTTAACTCCTGTCTGGTAACGTTCCCGAAGTCAGACTATTGTTTACAGAATAGGATGGATAAAATACATTATATTGAAGTGAATTCCAGAAAAAAATTATTCATAAATGTAGGTAGATGTTTACTCAAGCCTTGATCTGCAATCAAAATCATCTAGGGGTTTTGTGGATTTGATAATTTTAACTTTTAGGGAGTTTTTAGCCTTTACAGTTTTTTTTTAGCTTCTAGCCACGCCTGAGTCATTCGCATTATGATTATCTGAATCTTTGACGTACCAAATAAAGACGGAATTCGTTGCAGAAAAATTTTTTTTTCACCTATACTGACTGATTTCCGAATAAAACTTACATTATGCAGAGTTCAAGCATGTTTCAGCGTAACAAAAACTTGTATCAAATATGCAAACTTTGTGATGAATTATATTTTTAAAAAATGATATCAAACTGATGACAAAATTCAAATCACAAAAATACAAATACTTCCGTTTAGAAATTAATTAATACATTTGTGCTTCTCGACGCTTCAGTATCTGTATTGATAAGCAGGCATGAATTCTATTCGTCTCACTTGTCTGTTGCTCGGCTTCAGAGCTTAGTTCGTATTCCATGAAACAACTTTTAGGTCAAGAAAAAAATTCTCGAGTCGTCAAGTCTCACGGCAAACACGACTCTCAACACTGCAGTATTTGGAAGATGAACCGCGAAATTCTCAATACTCCTTAATCAAGTTAAAATAAATTGTAATCATCACTTATATTTTCGTATTGCAATCATTTAATCATTTACATTCGCTAAAGCCCTCTTTCACTTGAGCAACTTTCTTATACGTACAGTCAGACTCAGATGCTGCATAAAAATTTCGGAAACCGTGTGTTGTTTGATAATATAACAATATAATATAAAGACGTTATAATAATGAGATCTTAGATAAGTATCATTCCCAGGAAATTTTCAATCTACAAAATTTCCAGAAGTTTCTTGAAATCACGCGACGTGTAGGTGATGATAAATGAAGTGTGGCAGCGTCAAGTTTTGTATATATTAACGCTCTTTTCTTACGTAGAATTTTTACCGGCGCTTCTCCTATGTTTCTAGATCTAAGTTGAGCTAATTTTTCTGAGGATTAAGCATTGACTTATTCTCAAAGAGCTTCATTTTAAAGGAGCGATTGACAGAGCAATCCATGGTTGAAATAATAATTAATTCAACCATGAACCATGGTGCAGTCGCTCAACTTTTTAGTTACTGTATAAAACTTTATTTTTGAACACGTAGCGTGATAGAAAACAGCAACAATTATATGGTAACCTGAAGTAAAATTCGAGCTCATCCATCTTGACACAGACACGTATCAACAAAAGCGATTAAAAACCTCCTATTTATGTAGGTTTAATAAAAAGGCAGATGATAATCTATCCACGGGTCGCAGTTCATTCATTGTGGGTGCTGAGTAGTGTGCGACTGCATGAATTAGCTAATATAGATCAATCGGGAGCAATAGACTCGGTATTCGCCGCAAAATTACCGGCAGCAAGGAAACTCTGTACAAGTCTTACTTGCCTCGTTTTGCATATTATATTTTGAATTAATGTAAAAGTCACATCGATATGTCTTGATTCCTTTTGAATCATGATATCGAGTACACCAACGAAGTCAACCATCCTCACATTCACTAACAAAGTCAAACGTACTCCCGACTTTCTGCAAGTAACACCGGTTTCATTTGAGATGCATTTCTTCAAATAAAAAACAAATTACCAAGCCTAAATATTTAATAAAATATAATTACATTCAACATATCAAATCGAAATATACAGAAAATCAACTACTAAATTAGATCGCGGTTGAAGCAGGTTCATCAAGGTAGCTATGGGCTGCGAAGTTAAGTAAAAAGAGCTTGTCGTCTTCCATCTATCTTTTCAATACATCATGCTTCTGAGGTTTCTACTAATCATGTCAATTTGGAAAGACAAGATTTAGCATTAGTGCATCCCCCGAGGCAGTTTCTCGAGAACAAATTCCGTAGTTGCTGGCAAACAGAATCACAATTTTCCGATCGAGCGAGTTTTGAGTCAAATACTCTGAATAAATGTTGACATTCGACCCGAAATCTCAACTGACAGAGTTCGAAAAAATTACAGAGAACTTCTAAAAATTTACCCGAGTTATTTCAATGGTACTGTATAAATTTTTCGGTACTGACTGTAAGAAATCTTTTACAAACACGTGAAACGATCAGAGGCATGGATCACATTTCGGTCATGACGTCGTACGGTTACACAAAATAATTTCACTAGCAACACAGGATTGCCCACAATATATATAAATACATTATTTTCAACGCTGAAAATAACAGAGAAAGCGACAATTGATTTCTTGATCTTTGCTTGAACTAAGTATAATCTGGGACAATGTTAACTGAAGATATTTTAACAAGATAAATCCACGGAGAAAGAAGGGTTGGGAACAGAGCGCAAACCCTGGCTACATGCAGTGCAGCTTGTTAATTATCGCCAATGTCTCTAACTCATGCAAGGCACTTGACTCAAATGTGAGAAAGACACATAAACTAACAGGTGATACACTGATACTTTTTGAAGCACATTAGCCACCATCAAAATATATAAGACTCATAATGCGTGAAGGTTTATATATAAATTTTTTACATTGGAAACCATAACCCGTACATTCAGGAACATGAAGTGGGTCATGGATCACTGTGTCTCGTGGCTACAGCATCCCGTTTGTCTACAGCTTAAAAAAATGTTTTCTCAGAGCATATCGCCAGCGTCTTGAATCTGCCGGGAAGAGAAAAAAACGCGCAAGGGCCTGAGAAAACAAACGAAGAATGGAGAAGTGGACAGGAATGGAGATAAAGTTGCTCAGATACCATGAAGCCTACAACCATGATCGGTACTACGACAACGATGTGTCAATCAATAGTATTGCTTCGGGGAGTTCGCATACAAAGAACCCTCTCAGAAGCAAAAGATTCCTCCATATTTCTCTCCATAAGTCAACCTCCAGGTAACAGTCTTCCAGAAGTCCTGCAGCTCAACGTAAAAATCCTTCTTTCTCAAAAAAAAATCATTAAATCACCATAATCTCTCATAATTAGCCGTAATTTAGTTATTCAATGAAGGTTGCATTAAAAATGATTGGATCATGAAACAAATGGGAAACGACCTCTAGTGAGCTACTTTATTGCCTAAATATTTTTGTATTATTATTATTCTACCATTTGCCACAAAGTTACAGAGTATGGAAGAGAGCGCAGCCCACCTCAATGTACAGCACCGTACAGACTCAACTAAAGTTATGTACACCAAAACTAAGTTTAAAGCTCCGTGAAACTTTATATTCGTCAACCCACAAGTCTAGAACATATGAGAGAAACGGCTTAGTAATAATACGTTAAATTAGAAGCCTTGGAAATGAAAATGCAACGAGATAACCTTAATACCTAAATATTTCCCATGAAGCAAGAGTTAATCACTAGCGATGGACTGCATTTCGATACGATAAAGAAACCCCAGAAACTAATAATAATAATAACTAATAAAGAAAAATTGCACATGATACGAGCGCTAATAACAAGGGATGCACTGCAATATCAAAACTCCAAGCTAACCCTGCTAAATTTAATACCTAGGCATTGCACATGACACAAAAGTTTACGAACAGCGATTTGTTGAAATATCAAGACTACAAGAAAACTTCAGTAAAAATCAAATTACTTCACACACGCTACGATTTCCTGTTGTGTCCGATCGTCACGTATTGCAGGCACGTTAGGCTGGCGGCACGATGTTTCAACCATAACCAACCAAAAATCTATTTGCCTTTGATACAGACAAGGAAATTATTGAATTGTAAATTACTTCGATTGAAAGGTACATCATGATCAAAAGGCCTAAGGGATAAACGCGTTCGAGGATTGCAAGACCCAATAAACCCGTAAACTACGCGAAGAAATTAGCTATTTGTGAGCATGTCAGATCATCCCGGAAATAAGTAAACTGCTGCCTGTTTTCATTGCGCTCAATGGTGGATTATATTATCCCATACTTTTACTCCACCCCAATTTGTTTTCTAACTGCTATGTCCGTTGGTTAAGTGGCCGTTGACAGATGAACTGTCGCTTGTCGTAGTCTTCTCAACCTCACATGAGGAGTCGAGAGCATCGCCGGCGGAGGTAATGTCGGAGGCTTCCTTTTGAATAGCTGTGGAGGCGGTGGGAGTGGCGATGACGACGACGTTATGACTGGCGATGATAGCAGGATTCTTGACGATGGTGTCCACAGGGCAGGTCAGGAAAGGATGATCCGAATACTTGTCAAAGCAGCCTTGAGCGAGCTTCCTTTCAGCTGTGCTGATGTCATTCTTGATGGCTGAAATCAAGAGATCTGAAAATAGGCACTTTATGAGCATAAGCGTTTTACTTAACGAGAAAAACAGCGGTAGGGTAGAAATTAGTAGTAGGCGAAATTAATAGAAGTAAGCGAAATTATTACCCGTTTTACTATTCACTATCGCATTCACAAAAATGACAGTAATGAGATGACGCTTGAAATGGAGATGGTCAGCCACGAATTTACCAGGAATATCAAGGTCAGCCACGAACATTACGAAATAATCATTATTATGTATATTATTCAGTAACAAGTCGAATCATTCCACAGAACTCAAACAACATGGGGAACCCAACACGCAAAAGTTACACGCATGATGCGCGTGGCTTTATCTTCAAGAGACAAAGCTCATCCAGGCTACTGTCTCACTGCCACGTAGTGACGGTGAGATCAAAGGAGTGAAAGCAACGAGTGGAAGCTCCACCTCGCTTCCACTGTCACGCAGTAGCTAACTGTCAGGAGCAGCTGCTCGCTAGTGCAGTCATTTACTAAACATATTTATCCGGTTGTTCTATTTAATTTGTGTTCAGCGGTATAAAATGAATACTAACTAACAGTACATTAATAAAGCATAACGCGTAAAATGCGTTAACATAACTTAACGCATGCGTTAAATAACACATAAACTTAAAAATTCAAATTGTTGCATGTCATCTGGTGACGACGTAATGTTGTGCCTCACCGAGCGACTCGAAATTGAGCTCTGGTCTGATGTAACCCAGCACCACAACCCGCAGCCACGACCCGTAGAAATCCTCGTCAAAGACGTGCAGAATGTGAGTCTCCTGCAACACAAGCGCTTGTGAGCAACACACGAACTGCAACAAACGCGCTTTAATATAGACTTTGTGCAACACACAGTGCTGCAACACACTGCAGAATAGCACATGAAACTGCAGAGTTACAGGCGACTGCAGAGTTGCAGGCTGACTCGCCTGCAACTACAGAGTTGCAGGCGCCCTCTTGCCACCGAGAAGGCGACGGCATGACGAGCCATTTGTTAATAAGCTATAGAGTGAGGTAGAGGCAAGCTTTGACCTAAGTGTTAAAGAATATAAAACAAATGTTTAAAATACATTGTATGAAGAAGATGTGAAAAATTTTGTTAGTTTACAATCAAGAAATTACAACAAATTTACAGCAAACAAATGAAATAAAAAATGCCGCTAGAAAGTATTATCCTTTTTCTTTAATATGTTCGACTGTATGCCTGCACCAAATGTACGAACATTTCACAATCAATAATTTATGTAAATTAATTTACTAGGAAGCTAAATTGACGTAGAATAATTAAACAATTAAGTAGCTTTTTAGAAAATTTTTCAGTAAAGCTATTGTGATAGAGTAACTCATTGAAGGTTGGAGGGAAGGTAAAAAAATTCGGGAACTATACACTACCATACAGGTGGGAGAAAATCCTAAGTACTCGTATCTGAGCCCAGTTAAGTGAGCCCTGAAAATACATTTATAATACCTCTGGCCCAATCATCTAATCAAACAAGCGCAAAATAAATAAATTAACTTTTCGTCCGATTCTCAAAACTTGTGACGACAATCGCCAGCTTTACGACAATGCTAACTTTGGCTTGGCTGTTATAGTTAGCTTGCAAGACTCACTAAACAAATGAAAATAGTTCGGTAGATCATTATAAGTATTGAGAATCTGGCGCTAAGAATCAATGGGCACCTACCACCGTCTGAAGAGGCAGTGTTGTCAGGCAGGAGAAGATAGGGTATAAGGGCCAGCCCATGCAGGAAGATTTCAGCCAGGAATGAAGGGTAGCAATTTAGGGTAAAAAAATAGATAGTGGGTAGCCAAGATACTAAATTTAGTGGAAATTTAGGGTAATAAAATAGATAGGCGGCAGATACTAAAGTTTAAAAACTGAAGTAGCTCTAAGTTAGTCAAACAAGTGTCGAACCTGCTGCAACTATTACACTAACTGGACAAGTATGGGAGCTAATTTAGATCCGTCCACATAAATTACGTTGATGATAAAAAAAAAGTAAACACACGTATGTCAGTATTCAAATTAAATTTAGTAGCAAAACTTCACATTTTATTTGATTTCATGCTACTAATTAAGATATAAATACAAACTGAGGCTATCTAACACGACTTCACATTGGTAAAAAATAATCGATTGCCTTCACACTGCTGAATCAAAACGAATAATTCAGCTAAAATTGACCCATCTATGGAAGAACCCAAGAGATAAGTAAATAATTACATCGACCAGTTGAGCTGAACAAAGCGCGAGGCTCTTTGATATTTCTTTAAAATGGAACTCACTCCACACCGTGCAACAAATTATCGCGGCACACAAAGAGTTCAGATTTCGGAGCTCCAGCAGCGATTTAGGACCACAGCGCACACACTGCCAAACCAAGGACGGACAAAGGTGCGCAAAATTATTTCAGCAATAAAATCCGGACTCAAAACAAAGGCCTGACACCCCTACGCAAAGTCAACAAAGGTAAACATGGTGGTTCACTTATCAATCAAATCGCCACATTGACAGTGAGAAGCTTGACAACATACGAACAAACGAGCAAATATGCAAGATACATACGTTCACCCATCACTCAAATCGACACTACATCGATAGTGAGGAGTGTACCATTCAACAAATAACCGCTCACATAGGCACGATGTAACCATTCTCTAATCAATCGAATCCATACGGCATAGACAGAGAGGCACCAAATCTCCAGCGGCTATAGAACAAAGTAATGACTTGTAACGAGTCATGCATCGTTGGAGTCACTTGGCCGGAAAATGCACTCGTCCTTGCATGAACGAACTCGTTCTAGGAAATTGCGTCACCTAACACAACGCAGTAAAAAAGATAAAAGGACTTACTCCTTTTGAACATACACGGAATCTTCAAGATCATTGAAGAATTTTTCGTCAGAATACGCAGGACAAAGGAATTAACTCGGGTAAACAATGCTGGACTTGACAATTCTTCCACTTATGAGCCAAATTCACCATAAGGACAATGAAAGTAGCCTGGCATGGCATAATCCATGACATTATTGGATAATATTTTGCTTAGAATGCAAGTTTATTGCAACAATTTAGAGCATCAAGATTATTACCGACAAATTAAGCATCTGATGCCTGAAACCAAAAAAGAAAAATTATTATATTTAACAACACTACGTACCTTACGAAGCGTATATATTTATCAACAAGACCTTACAAAATAATGCTGACATGAATTCACATTCACAAGCATTCGAGGTGCGCCTTAAATGCAACAAACACAATTCAGCCTAAGGAATTAATAAAAAAGATAGAAATACCAATTCGTGATCAATAACGTTCAGAAGCTTCGAGTGGTGAACTGAATAAAATGTGAATTTATTTGCTCTCCAATGACGTAATATCCACGCTTGTGCACATTTCATACCAGCTTTTTGAATACAAAAGGCTCAATTAATAACCTAGAATTTAGACAGAAAATGAGAGCCCGAAGTGAAATAAACAAAGCATAAATAAACGTTGCCATAAATTCATCCAAAAATCAGGTCTGTCTACCAGCCGAATCAGAGCAGGAAGATCAACAATCAAGTTTACCTTCAGAGCAACTTGAAAACGACTCGTCCAAAGCGCAGCCTCAACACAGAGGCAAACCTCATAGTCGACATTCTTATAGATACTGAGGCATGTTTTGCCTCATATGTGTAAACAATTCAAGTATCGTGGATACCGACACAGGCATTGTAAGAAATGGAATGAGATCTTGAAATGGCTCAGGGGTGACTAGAAAGAACAATAAAAAGTCCCTCGTTCGACGCTACGTAGAGAACTGGCATGTGGACTCGACAGGCGAAGCTTCACGGTCAGCTGCTTACGAGTGACCTTGCAACAATTTGTGGCAAACATTTAAACGACCATCAGTTGATTATCATTAGGCCTCAGACGTTTTTTTTGTGTGAGAGTAGCATGAATTTACGAGAATATCAATGCATTTTAACTTTTGAGCGTCGAAATGAATAACCATCTATACAATATTCATGGCAGATTTTCGGTTCAAGTCACTTTTTAGAATGCGACGAGTGAGTAAATGATTTCTTTTGCTTGCATCATTTCTGTCTATCGGAGCCCGTACTCAAGTTACTTTGGTGCTATTTAGCAGCGTTCTGTGTTCTCATACAAGACAAGCTAGAGCTTCATCTGTTCATGATTTAAGGAAGCTCGACATCGTAACCTCTAACAGGAAATATTATAGACGAACTTGAGATCGCATGAACAAATCCCGAGGAAACGAGCGTAAGTTATCAAGGTCATAACGTGAACCGGTTTATAACGCATTTCGAGGCTGCATTGTCAGAAGTTATTTGCTAATTAACAGCCCATTTGAATCTTGCTTGTAATTGGCGATGCATGTTGAAGGTCGGCGAATGGCGGACATGTTAACGATACCGAAGTATTTTCGAAACTCACGCCTTGAGATTAGAACAAATACTACGAGTTATAATTTCGTAGTTTTTATCTCGATGATTTCATACAAGAAGTTACAGTTGAGTAAAATTCTAAAATCATAAAAGTCATTGAAACATGGAAATTTTACTTTTCCCGGGTGCAGACGATTATAGCGACAAGCCTGCATGACACAGCAGGTCTGCACCAAACAATGGCAATGAGAGGTCAGGCCTCAGGTCATGGCATTACCGCCACGACACTTCACTGGAACGAATGAATAACAACTTCGTGTCCTTGCTACCTATTCTAGAGTTCACGCACAATTCTCACCTTTCCATCTACATATAAATCATTTTCTATTTACTTGAACCAAAGATTTGATTTGATTAAATTTTTGATGTGAGCACAAAAAATAAGAGATATTTAGTGAGCAATGATAGTTTAAGCAATGGTCGAAATAGACAGGAATTATGAGAGCAAACCAAGCCAGGCAAAGCCAGCAAATTCAAACGTAAAACTAGTGACTATGATCAGCTCTCCAGTGTTAGCACCAAACTAGAACTAGTATTATTTAGTGTCAACAACAAAATTAAAGTAACGCATGCAAATTAAGAATAAATTTATAAAGTAAAATGAGCTTCAGGAATTGTCAAACCTGCACACGACCAAGCAAACCTGATCGATATCAATAAAACTTACTGTACTGGTCTTCAACAAAACTTGCATTCAAATTTATTTTGTAACTAAAAACATCAATAATTTTGTATGCTAGAGCCAAATGCAAGACAATAAAATATCTTGCTTATAACAAACACTCGATCAGAATCAAAAAAAAATCTCTTCATAGTCACTCAGAATTTGATTAACTCAATCAAGGCACAAATTTAGACATTTTTGATTAACTTTTCTAAGCAATGACAAAAATAATCTCATTCATTTCAATTATGTGAAAACAAAAAAAAATGTTGAAACAACTCATTACATGCCTGTTTGATCAATCTAAATCATATATCAATATAAAATTTTAAACAACAAAGCATTGGGAAGACAGGATCTTATAACCTTGCTGTTATACTTTACCATGCTTTTCTTTGTGTTCTTGTAATAAGGGTTCCAGCCAACACTCATAACCATGCCGTAAGTTGGACCATCCATCACTTTAGCCAGGCCATAATATATGCCCGTACCCATACTGCTAGGCAGGTTGGCCACAACCTCATCAGGAAAATTGGCTGCACAGAAAATGCAATGGGAAACAAAATAATAATAGAATGAATAATGCAATTTAAAGATGGCTTTGCACCCTTGCCATAACTATCTGATAATCAAATTTCAAACCCAATCAATAATAGTTATGTAGAGTATTAAATACATGAATATGGTTTTATTGAGAAGCAACATGTAGAAAAGTCTTTACCGAGTGGTTACTCTCAAATCATTGACAGTAAATAAAGTATCTCCAATTCCAAACTTAAATAGGAGAAGTAAATATAAATTTAATAACACTCAAATTTTAAACAAGACAATAAGCTTATTTTAAATATATCTGTAACTTACAAGCCATAAAATTTAACAAAAAACAAATGTCATTGCTTGCCAATCTGGAATAAATAGCAGAATTTAAAAAAAATTGCAGGTGAAAACAATAGTTTCACAGGTCATATAAATAAATATAGTAAACATAAATGTGCTTTATCTCTTTATTTTGACATAAGTAATAAAAGGAAAAAGGCATATGAATTCTGGATTGGGTAGAATTATCCAAGCACATGGGTATTCATGCCCCATTCACAAGAAGCTTCAGTCTAATTTTCTAGTTTGTCTTGCTTGTGGAAGATTTCACAAGTGCTAGCCCTATTTGGAATATCAGGCAGATTCCTTAAATCACAGGTATAAACCATCCTTCCATGGACTTTAATAAAAAATTACATGGGAAAATAGGCAATTTTTCTTATTTTTTACTGAAGAAATTAAGAAAAGGCCATATGAACAGGTCAAATGGGTAAATTCATCAGCATTTTTGTCTGATTTACAAGTAGCCTCTGCTCAATTTTCCACTTAGCCCTTAGGATGGTCAGGAAGATAGACCTTACTCGGACTTGTTTATAAAAAATTGAGTAAAATTAAATATACTGAATCTGTAAAGCACCAGCCAATCTGGAATATTGTACAAAATTTTCTATAAAATTATGAAAAAATTATCATTTCAAGAGTGATTTTCTAGAATTGCAGGCAAAAATGGGCCTTTTGGATTTTGGTCTCATTCAAAGAGGCTTCTGAGTTCTGCGGTCTGACCAATTTTCCATTTTGGTTGACCTTAATTTCAAAATCACTAGTAGAAATCATTTTCAACTGCAACTTTCAGAAAATACTGCGCATTGCACCAGGCATGGAATATATCTACTTGGCAAGCTGCAACTGAATTTTTTAAGCCGTGGTTTCATGGATTTGTCAGCCGTGATTCCATTTCTTTGAGTTGTGATTCCATTTCTTCCAGCCGTGAATTCCATATCTTGGCCATGAAAGCCATGAAAAACCATTAACAAGCCGCAAACGTATTTACAAAGTCCGCGCAGGCATGAATGTGTTACCCCAAAAGGCCCAAATCTTTAATTTTACCCTAAAACAGTCAAACAGCAAAACTAACATTTGGCCTCACCTAAGTGGCAATTGAACAGTCTGAACACATGATAATCCAGTCTGGCCGCTCTAACGTTACCGCAGCCATGTGATCTACAAGGAAACGTTTGGGTTGACTTGTTGTTATTCTCTTTTAAATGATAATTTGGCAAGAACAATGAAGTAATGTGGATTGCACCATCATTGTGGAAGGTGAAAATTTCATGAAATGGCATGTTGGCAAAGTTGCAAACCATGATTCTTCAATCTAACAAAAATACATAACATTAGAGCCACAAGATTTCATACCTACTAAAATTATATGATATTAGCCATGGTCAGGAAGATGTGCCAGGTGCGCAGGAATTTATTTTGTCATTTTACCGACCTGCATGGTGCGCCGTACTATGCTGGTAAAAAAATGCGCCGTGCGCCGTACTTTAGAAAGCTAAAATAGTTCTACTATTTTAGTCGACAATATACGCAAGTATATTGACTACGCAAGCTGTTGCAAGTCGAACTGACAATAATAAAATGTAAGACATGTCCAGGTTACTTCTGACTCTTCCGCTTGTCCGCCTTGTCAGATACGGAACGTACGGTAATCGTAAACTGCGGCTATTATACATATGAAATGTAAACAGACGGTGTAGGTGTTCAGTGTTGCCATATGACTTTGGAGAAAATTTCTTCTAAAATAAAGTTCTAGATTTCTCATTCACCAAATTTTCGTATCAAGAAAAATCATATATTATTGAAAGATAATTAAAGGCATACTGTACTGAGTAATGTGAGTATTACGTCTGTTCCTCCACAAACTGCTTGTGCGCGGCAGCGCAACATAGAATTGATGGCCGGGATTGCGCAAACACGTGCGCGAAGAGAATCAATTTTCATTACATTGCGCCAACTGTGCACAGCAATAGCTTAAAAAAAGTGAAAATGCGCGGGAAAATTCACCGAAAACATACATCATCCTGAGTGTGGGATATTAGAGCTAGGATATTTCAGAACGAAGTAGGACTTTTCCAGCCCTGCATTGCACTTAGTAGTTAGTGCAATACTAAATAGTAAATACCAAACAGTGCGAGTGCAATGCACTGTTTGGACAATATGTATTCAAGATTGGCTTAAATCCCATTTTGGCTTGGTAAATAGTCAATTCTATATTTAAACATCACTAATGATTTTTTTCATCATTCACTCAAGCTGCCAAGCGGCAAGCATAATAAACAAGCAAGTTCGCATGCTCTATTGACTCACCAGTCGGGATTCCTAATTCTTTAGATCCTCTTCCAAATCCTTTCACCACAATTCCTGCCGCAAAATGAGGAAAAACAGTTCGAGAAGACATTATTGTTTATCACTGAGCATTCAAACTGACAGTCGTAAGAATGATAGATTTAACGAGAAAAATAATAAGGTGTCTTTCACTGTATTCCGCGAGCGAAGACCAGACCAAAGAGCAAACACAACCTGTCCTTTTGGCAGCTCCGTTGACAATGAGGAGAAACTCCCACCGTGTTGCACATGCTTGCTTCCTGCACTACTGAACCGGCAAAAGAATTCGTCATGGTGATGCGGATTTTTTCAACTTAATGAATACTAATATTAGCTTCAAATAATATTCTATTTTGTTTTATTTGTTCAAAATAATAACGCTAGCGTGCGAAAAATAATTCAATAATCAAAAAACAACTGACAACACATCCTGAATTGAGTTTCTCTGAAGAAATTATAATGTGGATGACCTGATCCAAACATTATCCCCAGAAACGAGTTTTAATCTTAAAATTATTATTAGGGACAAAAAAGTAAATGTATCCAGTCTCAGAGTGTCCAAATCGGCGAACTCACCGGGGAACTCAACATAGCCCTGACACTTTTAGGATGAATTTTTAGCTCTCATTTCAACGCATAAATTTGTCAAATCGAATACTATCTTCTACAAATATTTTACAAATCAAATACTTCGTTGAAGGAGAGGAGGACGAAAAGAGTGGGGTCTTGAGGAGTGGAGGGTTGAGATATAGGGGAGGGTGGGAAGGCAAAGGTGACCGTGCCGTATGTTCTTAGTACATTGTTTCTGTTTTTATTTTAGGGCGCTGACATGCACAGGGGGAATGTTTTAGTCGTTGTAGCGCATTTTCTCATTTATGGAAAAAAGCGCTATTGTGCTCGTCATGTCCGTCTGTCTGTACGTCTGTCCGTGACTTCACGTTTTCGTCTACGAGAAAATGCGCTCTCGGGAATTTTGAATTTTTTGACGCTAGTAAGAGAGCTTCTATGCAGCATGTATGACCGATTAAAAGGTCTTGACCGGATGTCAGCACTTACCCAATTCTATTCTAATTCCATCTTAATCAGATATACAATACAAATATTTACTTAAAAAGTTAAAACACGCTCTTGCGAGCGTTGCTAGGATTTGTAGTCCGCTTCCTCTTTTACGCAGCTCGTTAAACGCCTATTTCTCGCACCTTCGCAAGCATGCCAAACTTAGCGTTTGACGGGCTACGTGAAGAAAAAATATAACTCAGTACTCACTGCGGTGAGTGACAAAGAGAGCATTTTCTCGTTGACGAAAACGTGAAGTCACGAACGGGCAGACAGACAGACGGACGGACAGACATGGCGAGTACAATAGCGCCTTTTTTTCCATAGAGAAAATGCGCTAAAAACGAGAAAAACATTCATAAAACTCTTGCACGAGCTAATTCTATATGAAAAGCTTTCATGTTCGTTCGGTCAATATCAGTTTAAATATGACAAGTCATGCGTAAAATGAAGCGCTCAAAATTCGTTTTAAAAATTCATTTCAAAAATCGGTCCCAAAGATGTTCGAGCGGTGGACTCGACAACGACAGTGAATATCTCATCGACAATTTTCTGAACTCCAGCGTAGACCTTGAGGATATTCAAAATATATCTCATTAGTATGAATACGCTGTGAATAGCATCGTCACAATTATCTTTGCTTTTTTCGTTGTCGAATGAAACTCGCTGTTGCGAAAGTATCCCTCTTATAGCTCTCAATTCTGGACCGATCTGGTTGGAATGTAAAACACATCTCATTAAAATCATTCAAGAATAATAGTATAAGCCACGTATCTATTTCGAAAACGTTTTGGAGACCACACAGTTCATCATCAGTTTTTTTTTTTAATTTTCATTTAAGAAATCGTGAATTTACTTGGAGTTTCTTTGCCTTGATATTCCTAAATTACTTGTTAAATAAGAAAACTAATCAATGTGTATTCTGTATACTTTTTAATATGTAGGCGTCCCTAACAAAACCTAACCTAACAAAAAAAAACTAACATCGTTAGGTTTTTATTCTTCTATTGATATTTTGTCATGTTTAGATTAGGTTAATACGATGATTATATTACAAATGACCTACACCAACTCAGACTAATTTAACTTGGAACTTTAAATAAACTTTTAAATTTCTTACAGACCTATTTGCGATTAAACGGACGGTCGTTTTCTCGCAAAATTAAAGTTTAATTAAATCGAACAGGTACCTACATGTCTGGAATAAATTGGTCATAACTCTTAGTGATCTCACAGCAAAGCAGGTTAACCTCATAAAATACTTCTTTCTTTCCATTTAATTCATGTGATTATATAATACGGAATGTTGGCACAGATTACAAAATTCCATTCACTATTACATGAATGTTAATGAAAAAGAAGCAGTTTAGAGTGTTCAACAGATGCTGCAACTATACTATAAGTTATTAGGTTAGATTACTATAACTTATTACTCACTGCTTGCAGCGAGTTCAGAGGTGTGCTTTTAATAATAACTTTGTGAAATAGTGATTTGCAATAAAAATGTACCGCTATCGAATCACGTGGATGGATTAAATGGATGTTGATTAAAGAATTCATTTGTGAGAAAGTGACTTGTAACATAACTGAGGAATAAACTTGGGACAAATTTAATTTTATATATTCACAAACAATTTTATATCGAGAGAAATATGTGTAGTCTGATATCAAGCAGCATAATGGTTCAATACGATCATCTCTACTCATCATTGATTCATTGTGAATTTAACAGAAAAATAGATTGGTTCATACAACAGTCATAGTGATACGTAATAACTGCATTGAATCCCGTATTATGAAAAGTTCATGCGCTAAATACAGGCCTATTTAAATAGGCCATGGGCCTATTTCTTCAGTGCCGACACTTCTATTCTCAATGAGATTAATGCAAAACATCGATTAACTTCACCAATGTTGAACTATAATATGGTGCTATTCCGCTCTTGGAATATCACGCTATTCCTTCGGATGCTCTTGGAACACTTCTAGATCCCGACTCCTTCCGCGTCTCAATTGCTCTTCGAGTTGGCGCAAATGTATGCGAACCCCACACTTGTCGGTGCGGAAAGCGGATGGATGCACGAGGGCTGCATGGCCTTTCTTGTAAGTACAGCGCTGGGCGACATCCAAGACACTCGGCTCTGAACGATGTGATCAGGAGGGCTCTTCAGAGCGCTGGAGTCCCTTCATGCCTTGAACCCGTTGGAGTGGACAGAGGGGATGGTAAGAGACCAGATGGCTTAACGGTTTTCCCGTTTTCTAATGGGAGGTGTTTGTGCTGGGATGCAACCTGCGTCGACACTTTTGCTGAGTCGCACGTCAATAATTCGGCTTTTTCTGCTGGGTTCGCGGCTCGCGCGGCGGAGGATAGCAAGAGACGTAAATACGCGGCGTTGGCAGCTCGGTATCGTTTCGAGCCAGTCGCATTAGAAACGACGGGCACATATGGTGAAACGACTGGTCCTTTAATATCAGAGATTGGCCGTCGCATTACGGAATTATCCGGCGAACGTAGAGAGACTCTATGGTTGGAGCAAAGGTTGGGTTTGGCCGTGCAGAGAGGCAATGCAGCTAGCATCCTAACAGCAGTCAGAGAAAAGTTCGACGTGGGCCCGCTCCTCGCTCGCGTCACAGCTCAGTGACCCTCGGAGTCGGTGTAGGCCACCATCAGAGGCGTTAAGGTCGGGGCCCTGATCATTGACATGAAACCATTCCCTGTTTTTAATTAATAAAATAAAATTAATTCCTTTTTTTGTTGGAATGGTGAGTGTGGGAGGCCTTATAAAAAAAATATGGTGAATACCATGAACCTACAACACCAATAAATAAAAATATCAATAACCAAAAATTATCATCATAAAATTTTTCATTATTCAATCAAGTGCTATCGAAAAGAGGGTTAGAGTACAAATATATCAGTTACTGCTCAAAGTTTTTTTTGTGGGAAAAGAGCTTTTGGCACATTATTGGAACGCAATAGAACATCTGGCAACGTTCTTGATGGGAGACGTGTAGCCAGCCAGAAATCACTTGTTCGTTTTCTAACGAAATAATTTTAGGAAACTTGTATATCACACGATTTAGGGGTGACAATATAGCACATTATTTTACGTAAATCATATGTAGAATGCTAAGAAGTTATATAATTGTTTTATTAGTAAATTACAGTTTGTCAACTCTGGTCAAAGTCAAAACAGCTGCAGAAATCGAACAGCGTGAACCAACGTTTTCTACATGTCTCGAATATATTTGTCAGTCAATCAAAAGAGGCTTTCGCTAAAAGAAATTCAGCAACACTCGATTTTTATTTATCCAATTTGAGAAAATATCGTACGTTGTTTACCGTATAATTCTACGGTTTCCCCAGTTTCCAGTGGTTTTCATAAATTTTAAGAGAAGTAACTGCCCTGCAGATAAACATCGACACATTAGGGGCTGAACAACTGAAAGAGATGGTAGAGGACTTGTGCTAAGTGAGTATTTCTATGTTATATCTTCGTGAAAACTTGAATTTTCGGCTTATAGACGACAGTGAACTATTGCAGCAATCTTTCTCTTGAAGTAACGATTGTTAAAGTGCTATTCTAAGTGTTCTTTGACAAAAAATTTTCGTGTATTCAGCAGTGCTTACTCACTGCTTTAGTTGGTCCGTTGTCGGAGGTAAGGTATCAATGCCGTTCCGAATTTTGCAGTTCAATGATCAGTAACAATGGCTGTGTTCTCACTAATTATGGAATGATTTTAACTGCAAATGACTCTAGTTCTTATTATATTTGTTCATATCTCTGTGTGATTATTGTTGAAGATATCTTTTTTCTTAGCAAACGTTCCTACGCCGTACGTTTGGGTAATGTTCTTAGAGGCGGTGTAGTGCCGAGGGTGGGAGTGGCTTTCAGTGTTGTGGTAGGGGTGGGGAGAGTGCGCGTTCTATGACAAGTTATATGTTTTTGTTTCATATATAATTGTTCGTTTATTCAATTCGCTCAGTAAACACTCGTTTTGAATTATTCATAAATTAGGCTACTTTTTTGGTTTGAATCTGAGCTCGACATCGTCATCTAGTTCAAATTCTGATAAATATTTGGTTAGGCCTCTCTATTATCCCAGGTACTGACGTAGCACTAGCACCGAGACAATACGTTTTAGTTTCAAGTCTGTGTTATTTTCATCATCGCGTTAGTATTGTCCATGTAATTCCTCGTGATTGGAAACCATTTTATTGGATCTCATTTTCAATCGAGGTTTTTAGATGAATTTGCGTGTAGGAAAACTGGTGTTTAGTCATTCTGCGGGTGTTAGCATCTGCCGCCCACCATGATAGCTTGCAGCTGCCAGATACTTCCAAACAACTCATCTCTCCGCTCATCGTTACTGCCAACTGCTGTTCTCGAAGTCGTGTAGGCGGCTCATTATTAGTTGTATTCTTAGTATTTTGCCTATGAAACACAGTGTAATAGCTGAATTTTTTATTCATTTTGATACCTATGAGACTATGAGTAGACCAGTAAAGTACGGATACAATAATTATCCTACATGAGAAATTGGTTTAAATCTTGAGAAGATTAGGAAATAAAAAATAAATTGATTGTAAAAATCTGTGGTTTGTCACTATGCGATGAAGCGCATGTTGAATGGGAAGGGGATACGCTGTATTTTTCCCCTCTGCGCCTCCCCCAAATAGCTTCTACTTGGCCATCGCTGCAGAGTTGCTTGTTTATATCTTCTGTGCTTATCTTTTGCTTACCAATTTAACATATTGAGCGTGCGTTCTGTGAGAGAGTAATAGGGATTAGCTACTTTAGATGTTCATTTCAACCGAATTACTGCTGGCGTTTTTGCTTTATTGTCATGCCGACGATTGGTCGACGAATATTATGATCGATTCCGTACGCACACGCACGTGAATATTAGATTGATATACTTCTAATTTATCAATTTATCACTCTATTTATGAGCTATAATTTTGAATATTGAAGAAATGTGTTAGGGCTACCGTCAGCGAGCAAAACGGTATACCTATATATATTAGTCCACCCGTAAGTCGGTGAAGGCGATAAATGAGTCATGTTCCCGGATCCTCCTTCTGGCAGAAGACTTAATTTACTTGGAGCGTTGTTCATCCTAGTTGAGCAAATTGTTGCTTTAAAGACAACGACATTAGCACGGCTGGTGGTGGAGGTGTTGACATGGAGGTGGTAGTGCCGGGCGTGGTATTAGCACGGTTGGTGGTGAGGTATTGATTACTGAGTACTTTTGCATAACATGGCGGTATTACTGGCGCACGCGACAGCGTGGTCTCATTATTATTACCAGACTGAGTAGTATTATGTTTAATTTTTTCCTCCAGCCCCCGTAGAAAACACACAAGAATACCGACCTCTTATGTGATGCTGCTCTGTCGTGCAGGCAAGCGTCATGGAGGCCGCTGACGAGCTCATGCTGACGTGGAGCAACCACCAGCCCACACTCATGCAGGAGGTGGCCAAACTCCGCTACATGGTGAGTGTGGTGTGGCGCCATGAGTGGGTGTAGTGCGGCGTCTGGTGGTTGATGTGGCGCCATGAGTGGGTGTAGTGCGGCGTCTGGTGGTTGATGTGGCGCCGTGAGTGGGTGTAGTGCGGCGTCTGGTGGTTGATGTGGCGCCGTGAGTGGGTGTAGTGCGGCGTCAGGTGGTTGATGTGGCGCCGTGAGTGGGTGTGGTGCGGCGCCATGTAATTGATGCTGCGCCCTGTATATGAGGCTGGTGGGGCGCCTGGGAGTTGATGTGTCGCCCTGAGTTGGCAGCGGGTGGTTATTGTGCAATCCGTATTCGTAAATTTCTAACCCAGTAATTTTTCCAAACATTTCATTGCTATGTTGTTAGATTTATGTCAAACTAATCTATCGTTAGTTTCATGTCAATAATAATTGGATTAAGGTCACAAGTTCTTGTTGAAACTTAAAATTTTTATTCGCGTGAAAGCTTGCCTGCAATAAGATTCACGTGACAAGTATTCTCTGAAGGATTTATGCTAATGTTTATAATGTAATATTTGTTAGATCGCTGAGTCTAGGTTTCTTAGTTACATTTCAAATTTTCTATTTGACCACGCACTACCGCTGCCCTGCGGCCCCTGCCATCACCACGCACTACCACTGCCCTGCCATCACCACGCACTACCCCTGCTACCACCACGCACTAACATGTCTGTGTTACAGGGCGGGTTCGCTGACGTAACACTAGCGTGCGAGGGGCAGCTCTACCGCGCGCACAAGTTCGTCCTCGCGATGTCCAGCGAGTATTTCAGGTGGGCAGCGCCTGGGGTGGATTTTGTATCCGTGTTATTCTTATGTTATGAATTGGTCTTTCCTTTAGGCTTTGTTGTAATGCTTACTTTCACATTGAAATTCCGATCAAATGGTGAGCTTCGCATGCAGAATTGAATATATATAGTATGACGTGCGGGCGCTGACGCTGCGTATCATCGATACGTACGTCAAGTCAAGTAAATTGGCTCGCAACAACGTTTTTCGTGTGTAGCAACGGACTAAAAAGAGAAAATAAAATACTTAAAAAACTTTTTTAAAAACCACGTTTTTCTTGTGGACTAAAAAGTAGAAAATAAATTATGGCTCGCCCCAAAAAACGTGGGTCGGGCTTTACGTTCACCATCAAATTTCCAAAATTCGTGTGAGTGTGTTGTGTTCTTTTCGCTTTAATCATAAATCTGCCCGACACGCGTTTTTTAGGGCGAGCCCTAATTTATTTTCTACTTTTTAGTCCACAAGAAAAACGTGGTTTTTTTAAAAGTTTTTTTTTTAAGTATTTTATTTTACTCTCAGTGTGTCTACTACGGTACAGCGTTGCATTCAATCTCGGGTATAAATTACTGTTCACATTATCAGCTGGTGTCCACCCACTGACTCTACTATTTCTCACAAACGTGATTAATCTCTTTTTCTTGGGCCGAACAAAAATTGTATTATTAATTGCTGATCAAAACAAAATTTTTGTTATCAATTGCTGCTTTCCGAGTCGTTGAAATAACCATGTTATATAGTATCATAACCTGAAGTGCGATACTCCCTAATTTTTCATTAATCTAACCATTTGACACATTTTTTATGTAACTTCCTAAATCGAAATAAACGTGAGCCGTGATTACTTTTTTTTACGTTACGTATTGTGGTTTTGAAAATCGATATCGTCGTGTAAAATATCAAATGACTTAATCATAGAACATACTGTTCTTGCTGTTTTTTTAATTCTAAATTTCTAATTTTATCTCAACACTATTTGAAAGTGTTCAATAGTGTTCAAGTGTTCAATAGTGGCTATTGAGCTCTATTGAACCCTATTGAACACTATTGAACACTATTTGAAAGTGTTCAATAGTGTTCAATAGTGGCTATTGAATACTATTGAACACTATTGAACACAGGACTGGACTGAATGTATTGGTGCATTGATGATACAAGCGTGATAAGCAGATATTTATTTATAAGCTAATTATGATGACCACGAAGTGTCTGTTGCAGGAATATCTTCAATTGCTCGAATGTAAGCAGTGGCAGCAGCAACTTGGTGATTCTGCTGAAGGATGTGCCTTGCGCGGCAGTTGAGCAGCTTTTAGACTTCATGTACACCGGGGAGGTGGCCGTGGACCGAGCTTGTTTACCTGCACTTATCAGAACCGCCGAGAATCTTCAAATTAAAGGCCTTGCTTTGTCTGACCGCCTCCCTGATGAAGGCTTCAGAGATACAGCGAGGCATGCTGCTGATAAAGCTAAGCCCTCGTACAGAGAAGAGACCTTGTATAGTGACGAGTCATCGTTATTGCGTTCATTCAATGCCGGTGACATGAGAAGCAACACAAGTCCCCACGATAGCAGAACTAATCGTGGTCACTCTATATTATCTTCTAGAGAAGGCACGAGTCCGCCAAGCAAACGGAAACGTCTCCATGATCCTAGTAGGGGTGGTACAGATTCCCCTACATCTGGTGCAATACCTCGTAGGTGTAGTGTATCATCTCCTAGCCTTGCGCCGAGTTCTACAGGTCTAGTCAGTGGTGCTCTGCCACACTCTCCCTCCATCTCTGACCTGCCCAAATCTACTTCGTCATCCCAACACCACTCGCTAGAACCTCCAGAAGCAAAACCTTCTTCACCGCGTTTCCCTCACTCCCGGTCGGAATCATCCACTCCTCTTGCCGTCGCTTCAAATACTCCGCTTCGTTTCGGACAGAGTTTCATCCCTCTAGCCCCACCCTCAGCCTCTAGTTCCCTTGACTATAATTCCCCTGCTTCTAGTTCATGTCAGACTCTGATGTCATCGTCCAGTGTAACTGTCACGTCAGCGTGCTCTCTGCCTGAAGATGTCGAAATCAAGAAAGAAGCGGACGAGCCTGGCACCTCCGACTTGAAGAATGCAGCTGTCGATCCCAGCAGTGGAGCTGCCGAGCTCAAAGAGGAGCCACCTGGAGATGACATGGACGTCAGCCACGCCCTGGTGCATGGGGTGAGCTGGTCAACGAAGTCTCATAATGCTTACTGTAAAATTAGGAAGGAAATTGTTTTTTCATTACATTGAGATGTAAGGAGCCTTGGAGTGGGTGATGGATTGCTTACAGTCATTCAGAGTTAGGCGGAGGCCAATGTAGTTGACAGTGGTCTACTTTAGTTTCTCATTGGTATGCATCATTCAGTACTCTCTAAAGTGACCGATTTTTTGGACAATTTGCGTACTCATTAAGAAAGACGTATTCATAACTTGAATTGTGAAGATCCTAATTTTTTGTTGGCAATAATATTTTACCATCTTACTTGCCACGCATACTCGTTCAGAAACTGAATGTCTCGACTTTTCAAAGGAAAGCTTTTCTGTGGTAAATTTCTCTTGTTCAAGTCAACCTTACTGAGCACTGAAATTGCTGGTCTATCATTATGTTGCTTTTGTAAAAACATTACCTATATTAAGAAATAATTTTTTCGATAATTATAAGTAGAAGTGGAATTAATAGATTATGAAATTCACGAAATCCCGAATTAGTCATGTTATGCGCAAATTGCATTACGACGGGAAAACGAGTAAATTTTAAGTTGAGTTACTTGATGGCTAATTTCAGCATCGTGTCTAACTTGCAAGACATTTCAACTGTTGAATTACATACTGACGCAGCATGTCATGTGCGTTCCTGTTGACGCCGTACGTTGCGTTCTGTAAATACCTGATCTTGCCACACATGCTGGGCGCTGAGACTTCAACCCTCGCTGATGCCCTCCGTTATTACAGGACGAGGACGGCTGGCTGGGAGCGGGGAGAGCGGATGGGGCAGCGGCCCTCATGGCGGACGCCTCTGAGGACGACTCTGCTGCCCTGAGCGACTCTGACAACCCTGGGGTAAGTCCAGGGAAAATATTCTTTTTCCAGAGCAAATTCTTTCTATGGAATTACTGTAGATAGTTCCTGTATTTTCGTGTGCATATTTCAGCCGTGCTTGTAAACGTTCGTTGTTCCATTTTAGTCATTTCCTTGCCCTTTTGATTTGTTCTGGTCGCTTCACTTCTATCACGTCACTGCTGTATGTTTTCAGGGGGAGTGTATCTATTTAAACTTCAGCATTATTAAAAAATTGATTTTTTTTTACACCAAAACTGATATAATTTTGGTTGGAGCTACCAATCAAGAAATGAAAAGACAACTGCCCATTAATAAGTGAAGTTGAAAACTTGTTTTGTAGTAATGTTCTCAATGAGAGCATTTCAAATTTGAAGCTTTATAGAGATGTTACTATTATTGACCTTCTGCTCTTCTATTAAATTAAACATCAATGAAATTTCTCTCGTCTGTTCTTGAGTATGCTAAATAAGTCATTACTTTGTCTATGTGGTAAGCTTTATCGTTATTTTTAGAAATGCTTCCTAAGCTCAAAAGAAACATCATATCTGCATAACAATATAAGTATGTTAGTCTTTTTAATTGACCAAAAATTTCACCCTAGTGAAATAATAGAGCTGAGTGTTTTTTTTTTTTTATCACGAATAACTTTGTATTTGTTTCTCACTGACCTAAAAGTTTTTGTGTAATCTTGGTCTTCTTGGCAGGTAAGTTGGACTTTATTCATGCCCTTTTCATGCAATGCTTTCCGTCCACGCTAGTACCTTGTAAGGAATTATCAACTAATAATGCATTGAAATTTACTTCACTGTGTAATCTTGTCCCTTCAACGTGTAACAATAATTTCAATTGGGCGCAGGCTGACTTACCATAATTAACATGCTTCTTTAATATATATTTATTTCAATGAATTTTAGAACAAACTTAACCCACAGTAGGAAAGAATAGAACATAAATGCTTCTCTTGCGTTATTTTCGAAGGGCATTTTAAAGAAAAAAATCGCATAGTGTAGTAGCCGTGAACCAGCGGTTGCTTGGTGGATTGTCCTGATAGCTGTTAGTCATTTTCTTGTTCACAGTCTCTCTCAAATCTAAGCTCCATTTTTGCTTGAATTCGGATATATTCAGTGAAAAAATAGTGGCTGGATGTTGATATGAATTAGAACGAGTTTTTCTGCGTCTCAAGATGGATGTCTTTTCCTTAGTATTCTGTGTCTTGTCTCATGAATACAATATCATCTGCCTTCATTGGTGTTCATCTGCTACGATTATTAAGGGGATCATATACGTCAAAAATGGAAAATTTTTGGCTTTTCTGTTTATTTGGCTCATTTTTGCGGAAAAGGCGCGTCTAACGCAGCAAACCGTATGTATGTTTGTTTTCAGTTTTGCCTGAGGCAGTTCCATAGTTATAGGAAATGAACTTTTTTAAACAAAATGTAAAAAGATTACTTTGAAAATTTGAATTTATAGATCATTATTAGCCTTAATTGTAAAGTGTTTGCACTCATTTGAAAGCTACAAATGATGCGCGCTCAAGAAACTGAATACCATGGATATACTTGCAATGTTTTTGCGTTAGGCAGTTTTTAACTTTACAAAATTAACATTTTGTATGAATGAAAATATCAGAAAAGTCACATTTATGGCTTATTATTTGCTTTAAAGTGGACAAGAATAAGTCTTAAGACGCGTGTTGGTATCTTGAATGCGACTAATTGGCGATGAGAAAGCTTACTACGCTACAACATCGAGCAAATTTTTTTTACATATTCTTTTTTTATAAATTTTACTTATTTGTCTTCCTGAACAATTAAAATTCCAAAATACGCCATCTTATAAATCTATCTCGTATTATTTTCAAGCTACAGCTTTGAGAGATCCACCATTCGATTTGTAAAGACCAGATCTAGCGGTCACCCAGTCACTTTTCCTGATTTCTTTTTGTTTGGATAATATATTGAAAAAATCAAGGTAGGGGGTTCAAAATTGAAGAAAAATCAGTAAAAACACCATAAATATAATGGAAAAAGTGATCGGATGATCGATAGATATGGTCTTTACGAATCGAATGATACGTCTCTCAAAGATGTAGCGCATTAATTCAATGAGGAGTAACTCTCTTTCTAGCCTTTTTCTATGGCTTTCGCGATTTCTTTCGTATTTTATCGAAAAATTTACACGAACAAAAAGTCCTAGATTTTCATTTTACATATGTGTAGTACCAAGTTTCGGAATGACTGCAAGAAATATTTTTTTTACTTATATGGTCCCGTTAAAAACTGCTGCACGTCGATTTTCAACTTGTTTAATATACATTTGCCAAACCAGCTAAATACTGCGATATAATATTGAAGGCTCTCTCATTAAAACTCACAATTTGATGGTGAATGGTGATGATTGGCTACATTGATTCATTCATTCTAACCTGCATTTTTCTACGAAAATAAAATATTGGATATGTTTACAAGTTTGCTGAAGGTTAGCATTTGTGCAAGTACCTACCTGTTGCAGTTATATTATGTATAATTTACTGCTCAATTCGTATCTGAGCTGAAATTGTACCGTTATTGTCCGCAAAATGTTTGCTCTGATTTTGCACTTCACTGTTATTGTCAGTTGCGCATGTAGTAATTTATAAAGATTTTTGGGTAAGTTATGCGTTTTCTTTTTGCCCCAAGGTGATGTGTTGGCCAGAGTCTCAGGAGAAGAGGTACAGGTGCGAGTGGTGTGGCAAGAACTTTAGATTGTCAGTTCATCTTAAGGATCACATAAGGACTCACACTGGAGAGAAGCCCTACCAGTGCCTCATATGCAAGAAGAACTTCACGCAGCGCTCCAACTTACGCACGCATCTATCAAAAATTCACAACGAGCAACTTGCATACGTCAAGACCAGACGTGGAGGGAAGTGCGGTGCCACGATGTTGATGACTCTCGAGCCTGGCGCTAACATCTCCACTGGATCATGTGCAGTCTCTGATGCAGGCTCAGCTCCCGCGTCTTTGTATGCCAAGGTCTTGCCATCTGAAGTGTATGCTTCAGACAACACCAGTGCTGCTGATAACCCCGGGTACCGTGGAGACGGGCAGCATAGTGAAGGCAACGCGACGCTGGCAAGGACTGTCAACACGGCCGAGATTGGCATTGATTGTTCTCCTCATGGTTCTGGAGATGATACAAGAAGTCACCACAACAGTGGAAGTTACAATAATCCCAGTGCCAAGAAAAAAAGATCGCGACTATATCCCAACTGTGAAGAAGGGGAAACGACACCAGTAGTTCCATTCTTATCAAAGAATACATTAAATTATCTTTACTTGGAAGATTCTCCGCAAGTGGATCCCGTTAAAGAAGAAACAAATAGGACACCGATAAAAGATGGTGAACAGCGTCAGCACCACTCCCTCGCTACACCACTCTCTCCTGTGCCTCTGTCTGACCCTCTGCTCAAGACACTCTTATTAAAAGGTGGTCCTCATGTCGCAGGCGCTACCAATACTGTCTTAACTTTCGAATCTTCCTTTAATAATGAACACAAGTCCAAAACTTCGACAATCATTACAGCCAAGGAATCAATTTCATCGCCTGTAGCTCCCGCTGCATCTGCTGCTGACGAATCCAAGGTATTGAGGAGCAGCGTAGACTCAAACGCTGAAACCGGAGTGATCATGGCCTCTGTTGGTCAGATGATGGGGAGTGAGAGTCCTGCAACGGTAATTGCCAACGAAAATACCACAATCTCGGCTACATTTGCGTTCGGCCAGTCTTCCTTGCCAACTCCCATAGGAAAAGATGGCATGAAGTCGCTCATTCTCATGGATGTCGCGAACAAGCCGCAACAAACTCTCTTCAAATTTGCGCCTGGCTTCGTGAAGTCTGACGGCAAAGGCTTGTCTGAACATGAATCCTTCATGGTGATTGAGGCTTCAGGTGTCGTGCCCCAGTCGCCGGTGCCCATCACCGTGTCCGTAGCCAACCAGCAGCCTCAGCAGCACAATATGGAGATCCTCCTGCAGGCCATTGATATGAAGGAGACGTCACCGTCGAGTTTGAATAAACAAGTGAGTCAAATGATTCCCGTGATGGGCACCTCTCCAGTCAACGTCAACTGCCGACCTCCGCTCATACAAAAGTTAGCGTCAAGTGTTTCGTCGTTGTCGCCACTTTCGCCCGCCATAAGCTCTTCAATATTCTCTACCTTCGCGATTCAAAGAAACAACAATCAGAATTCATTTTCTAGCCCTCCTACACTCATATCTTCAACTATGCTTCCCCCAATACCAGGGAGCAAAATCTCTGCTGCTACCCTGAACCTTCCCATATACTCCTTATCTTCTTCCGCCCCGACAACGCTTCTCTCGCATGTTTCTTCTCCTCTAATGCACTTGTCTCCAGCAGCCACTTCTACCTCTTCCATGCACCCTGCTGTGTTCCTCAGCCCCTCCACATCCATCGGTAGCATAGCGGCGCCAGCTTCTCCTTTGCTAGCTTCTACGTCTGTTATCGACACCCAGAGTGGGTCGTCTCCCCCCTTGCTGGTGCCCCCTGTGCTGGCCCTGCCCACCCCATCGGGACTCCACACACCCACGAGCGCCGCTGACGCCATGCAGCGCCGCATGTCGTTGGTGAGGAAGGACATGGAACAGCAACAGTTGCAGCACCAACATCGTGTCACTAAACTTGGCAGCAGTAATGAAGTGGACTCTTCTTCAGACTCCTCCATGCGGTCGGGCACAAGTGGAGCAGGTCGCGGTAGAGACTTGAGTTCAAATGCAGGCATAGCGTCTCCTCGACTCCGGAGTCGCATGTCGCCTGCCACGAGCGAGGAGGTATCGCCTGCTGGCACTGCAAGCAGCGCTGCCAACAGCGTCTGCAACACAGCTATACTGCAGCCTGTGCTCAGCTTTTCACCTCAGATGCAGCCTAGTGTCGGACCTCAACAACAACAAATTCTTTTGCCACACGTGCAAGCTGTGAAACACAAGCAATATCAACCTCGTACGGTGCACATGCAGAAGCAAGGAACTGGACAAATACTGCACCATCAACAGAAACAACTTCATATACTGCCTCAACAGCAACCTACGTCGACGACGTCTCCCTCGTCCACTGCCGCCCAGAGCCGCGACCGAGCTCGTCCTCAACTCCAACAACATCTGGTGGCTGCTACCTCACTAAGTCCTCTGAGCTTAGTAAAAGAGCGCTTAGTGACTCCAGTTATCATGGACACGAGTTGCTCAGCAACTAGCGGCACGAATAACGGAGGTGGTGTCATGTCTAACAACAACGTGCATGGCTCAACGAGCAGCCCTTCAGGCGACGTTAACAAGCGACTTGACACTTCCACCTCATGAGTGAGCTTTTGCTGCTGCCCGCGTAGTGTTTTCGAATCTAAATAAGTTACTCGTTGATAGTGGGATTATGCAAGTGTTGATCGAAATTACCATCTAATTCGGCAAATAATAAACACGATAACACGCTCCTTGTTATTTCTTCGTTGTTGTATCAGCAGTAAGTTATATACTCATGGAACTATCCTACAGTAAGGATATTTGGTCCCTAGCTTCACTACGGTCATATTTTGTCCGTGTTCTGAGTCTCCTCCTGCTGTCCGTGATGCAACGTGTGTTAGGGGACATTGGCGTGAATTTTTTTGCGTCTGCTCATCACCGATGATTCTGCAATATTGTCGACAGTAGTAGATTTATGGTAATCAATTGTTCAGGACTATGTTTTAAATTACGTCTCTTTTAATTTGTTAGTACAATTTAATAGTTAATTTAAAATTGAGTGCACCAAGTCATCCTCCCCTTTCGGGCATCCGTTACTTCTAATTCCTGGTGCTGCGAGTACATTCATGCTTGTCTTTCGGAAGAAATTTGGTAAAATTTTATCCTTTATAGGTTTTTTACGACATGAATTAGCGCGTAGCATCCAGCGAAACAATCAAGCTTTGATCTGCCACATCGAATTTTTTTTAACAGAACATTTACTTTTGACATTTACGTGCAGTTATCGACTGCAAAAACCGATGCAAAACCGTTTACTAGGTTTCTATGCTGTAATGCGATATTTTGTTGGCATGTTCTCTTCATAATTATTATTACATTTAATTTTACTGATTAATGAGGTTTCTCAAATCAGATCAATGATCTTCACAATTAATTTTAAAATTTGATGTTTTGTGGGATATGAGACAGGATTTCCTTGGTGTCCAGTTTGCATTAAAAAATCTTATTGGAGCATGGGGTTTAAGTGAAACAATTTACAAACGGATCTTACAAATCATGGGATGAGAGCGACTCGGAGAAAGTGGTCGGCTCACCAGACTTCTACTTTTTCCGTAAGCTGTCCCACGACCGTGTATACGCTCTTACTTAGTTCTTCAGCAGTTACAAGCTGCTCAGTAATTTAAATCAATGGCAAAACTTAGCAATGTTTAGCTCTATGTATTCACTTGCTGATCATGTATCATTTTTGTAGCATTTTAGGGTGTATCATATATTGCTGTTGTTGTTGCTTCTCATATTTCTTAAGAATGTTTAGTAAAGTCTAGATTTATGTTGTATGTGCCATATACGCTGGGAGGTCGAACGCATGCGCAGTTGACTCTATCTTAAGCGTCGACGCAAAACTACACAAATTTTTCATCATATCACACTACAGGTTATTAACTAAATCAACCCATCGTAGTAATCTAAATATCCTCGTGCAAAATACGATCGCAGCAAGAATTTTGGTGATGCAAACTAGTGTGATCATTTGCCATCGTAAGCTAAACAAAGAAATCTACGCTTCTCTGTCTCGGATAGTTACACCGTAGCTATTTAGTTGTTGAAAATCGTTAGAAACACCACTGTAAATAATGAATTACTAAAATTTTTCTTCAATTGACCTTTTTCTTCCAATTTTTGTCCTCGACTTTGTTTAGTCGAAACGATGACGATTTGCTATTGTCGATTATCACTGTACATAAATGGCCTTCGATGATCACACGGTGATTCGCAAGAGAATGTTCGCGTCGAAATATAATGCATTAGGAAACACAAATACGCCTGCCTTCTTAAATGTTTCAATTATCTACAAACCATACAAATTTGGTTCACAAACTTTGACATCGATTGCGTCGGCTCTCTTTCCCTTTGAACTCAACAAAGTTGAAAATTGAAGACCTGCGAGGAAGAAGTTTCGTTAACATTTCACTAGCCGTTCTCGGATGTCCGGCATCATCAGGCATAAATTAATGAGCTCCAAATACCAGGTTGAAATCGACAAGTTATTTGTATTAAAATAATCAGGCGTGTAGGCATGTGGATGTACCAGTTTTTGTGAAGTTCTAATGAAAAATGTTGGTCCTGTCATCTGCAGCGCTCGTCTTGTTCATTTGAATGCTATCTTTCTATTCGATACAATTACTAGTGATTGCATGGAACTGAAGGTTTGTCAGAATTTAGGGGTCGATCAAATCAACAGGCATTCCTTCAATCGAAAGAAATTCGTCAATCCTCAAGAATAGCGTACGGATGCTTTATTGAACGCCTATAGGGCGTCTAAGGGCGAGGGTTCCTAGTATACAAGTGCTTTAGATTCGAATAATTCAACGGTTCACAGCTTTGAATCAAGTGGTATGAGTTACACCATGGACAGGAACTCCATATTAGAGTGAAGTTGATTATATCAACGTTGGCAGTGTTGGAAACCGGCGATGTAAGCGAAAATGTTGAGATATTTGTCTATTCATGATGCTGGGTGCGCTCTTTCATTGATGTTTAAATGTAATTAAAGCATATACAAGGCCGCGACTCCGGTAAAACAACAATTGGCAGTTGAGGTTGAGAATTTCGAAAACTGACAGCACTTGTGTTGCAAACTGGTCACGTTTGCAATTAAGGTGGCGATGCTTACGTCACAGAAAACTTTCGCGTCATCTTCTAATTCTTCTCAAAGTTTTATCGCTCGCGGGAAATTATTTCCAAGTTCATACTTTGTTTGCTAAGCCATGTCAACCAAGTTATTCTCCAAAAAGTCGGTTACTCTGCGTGCTCATAAGCGGGCATCTAACATTATGCATTTGATTGGCGCCCTCCTATAGAGCATGTCTGTTGTTTTGTTACGACCTCTGTGTTCACCGTCTCGTGCAGTCCTGCATTGTGATAGAAAGTGCGCAGTGGATCGTGCATACCTTATCCTCGCCAGTCAATGACCGTATGAATTTATAACCTTGGTTTTGAAAATTTAGGTTTCGATTCCATTTAATAACAATCTGACTTCAGTTTTCGAATCATGCGAATGTATTTGCTATGATAATGTACATTTAACTTGTTACATCCATATATCATAATATCTTCTGACAATGAAAGGCTTCTTTAAAAACAACTAAAATTATTGGTGCTAGAGTCGGCCGATAAATGGGATACTAATGGAGATATGTATCATTTATGAGGGTTGTTACAAGCGACATTACTCCTTAAATGATTTATTCAACAATAATAGATTACACCCGTATCAAAATATATTTTGACTAATTTATGTGGATAATTTTCTGGATTCAAAGAAATACTTGGGGGAGCTTCAATAATTGTAACGTTTTCATCCTAACAAAGCTGTTATGGTTCTTAGTTGCTATAGTTAAGTTGGATTGTTAGATAAAATATTAGCTTGAGTTAAGTTCCGTGTTTATTTACCACTAAGTTGTCACGATATATTGCCTTGTCAATTCATGTGCATTTGGCTAACATTTACGCATTCATCAAGGCTGCCGTGACGTGTTCTCTTCGAATGTACCTCTAATTTCGTTGCAATTTTCACTCTTTATAACATTGCTAATATTTAGGCGCGTGAATTTCTAAGGACGCGTACTGGAGTGGCGAGAATCACGGTCATTTGCTCTGTGCATGAGCAAAATTCGGCCCAATATTAAATAAACTGGACTTTGAAATGGCTTGAGTTTATTTTCATCTGGCTCTTTGCCCAACATTCCTATAGAAACAACTTCGATCATTGCGCTGGTTTTTGGACTATTTTCATGTGCAGTTAGCTGAGATATCTGGGTGAAAGCTAACGAATCAATGCGGCGTGAAGGCTGACACTAGATTTCGTCAGGTGATACATAAAAATAACCACTTGTTCTGAAAGAAAATTCTACTAAATGAAATGTTCAAGACATACGCGCTGAAACTATTTAACACATGAAAAAGTTGGTATTTCTTTAAATCCTCCACCCTACTGCAACTGCCCATGTGTTTGTAAAAATCGACCATTGTCAGTGATCCTTTTATATTCCATCCCATCATGCTTCTCAAAATTTGTGTCAGTGGTGAAGAAACAATAATATCATGTGTAATAAAACTCATCTCGACGCTCATTACTTTCCTCACGTTCACGGCTCTACGCTCGCGTGCATACACAGACGCGTTATAAATAAAATAATCCTGACTTGAGCTTTAACCAATTAAACCCGTGCGCCTAATTCAAAAGACTTAATCGTGACGCTTCAGTTTAAGTAAGCCTGCCTACATGGGGGCATCAAGCTGTGCTGATTGTTTGCTGTAATTTCCCCAACATATGGCAGTCGTGTGTTGCGAGTGAAGAGTGGTCTTTAACCGTGCACCTCCGTTTGTCCTTATTCGAACTGATGTTTCTTTCGTAGGACACTGACGGAAGCATGGCACGTCTTCGCGTTCGCAGTTCGCTGGAACTTTACCACTCGAAAACAACGGAGGCTTGTGAAACTTCGACAGGACCGAAATTCTCTGTCATGAAGATCAACGTATCGGACTCAGTCAGCAGTGGAAGAATCGCGACAACGGCTGTCGTATCCGACTCTGGACTCCACTTGTCTCCTTCCGTATCTGTCACTCCGGTCTCTCGGGCATTCACTCAAGCCACTTCAGTTGTTCCGCCTATAATTACAGTCACTAGGAGCTTCTCTGTCCCTGAGAAATCTTCTGCGACAGGCGTGCGATATTCACTCCAATCGAGCATCAGAAATCAAGGGAAGAGGCTTCCTGGCACTTCTTTTTCTGATAGCTCCTCCACAAGCTCCTGCATTACAAGCTCACAAGCACCTTCGGTGCTGGTGAGCCAAACTGGTCCTGCTTCTACGTGTTCATCAAGAAGCAGCGCCACGTCACCCGCTTGCCTCTCTGTTGGTATGGAAATGCATGATTTCATAACGATCAACCCTGTAATGTCACTCGTACGTGACCTCAACTCCCCTATTGTTACCATCAGGCCACGCATGGCCTCAGCAGGCACCCCCAAAGTGTCTCAGGTAAGCTATATGCCTTCGCTGTCGCTGCCCGCAGCTACTACTGGGATGTCAACGACAAGCAACGTGTCCTCAGCACCACAGCCCTTGCATCCATCAGGAGTTGGCAGAGGAACTTACGTTCGGTCTGTGAGCAGCGGCAGCATGGGGAATGTGATCGCCGCGGTTCCACGGCTATATCATTGCGTTGCCTGTCCTTACAGTGCCATCAACTGGGAGAGTGTGAGGAGACACGCTTGGCGGCAGCATCAGCATGACATGACTGATCGGCCCTGACTTACACCGGTCCAATGATCACCAGCTAAATGCTAGTCTTGGATACTCGAGTGACGGAAGCCATGATAACTCGTATATGCATTCTTATTAATGCTGCCTGAAGGTTTACGTGGCCTGATTCTCCATCTAATGCGTCACTCTTCAGAATATTTCTCTGCAAAATCATTCGAGGCGAAGTTAGTATAAAAATTTGAGATATGTTAAAAAAAAAGTTCTATCCAAATTCAAATTAGTTTTTGCGTTCATCAAATGCAAACGTCTAGTTTTCGGGAACGGAAGCCAATGTATTGTTTCGGCTCCTCTAAATTAATATTCACGTAAGTGTACATCAATTAATAAAACAATTGTATAAAGCAATGTTCTCACTTCATTATGTAGCTTCTGAGTTTATTGTTAGTTGTACCTGTATTCTCATTATTTGTTTTGTTCTTAATTTTATTATTTTCTGATAAGAACCGTTGCGGTTTTTGTTCTGGTACTTCAATTTGAGATGAATGAAACTGCACAGCTTAATTAAAACATGCATAAACTCATGTCGTCATAAGGGTAGCTATTACTTCTCATAATTTTCTTATTCTGATATTATTTCCACTTCAGATGGTCCATAATGCGCTTTAGTACCTCGTATATCTTGTGTGCTGCTGCACACCAAATCTAAACCAACAATCGGCTGCGATCTTTTGTGACGAGTATTATACGTGTTAGACCTGCGATGACCGTGTCGACATTACCTCGTTAACAGAACTTAGCAGCCTGTTTTTAAAATTTATTTTGCCATGCTCAAATGAATTTCAAATGGTTGTTGGTATAGAATATAAATCATGATAGTGAAGTTTTACTCTACTTCTTTTGACACCAGAGACGAAAATATTACTTTGTTATGAAACATGAGTGTACTGTTATTTTTTCTCTCCAAAGAAGCTATGATATTCATTACTTACGGCGAGTATGGCGCATGCTTATAAATTTATGTCTTATTGCTTCGTAATTTCAATTATACATACAATTACCATCCTGAAATTGGTTAGAATGAATCTAATAAGAATTTACACCGCTCTGTTATTTTTCTATTATTTTATATCCGCTTTCGAAATCATTTCGAATCGATACCATCACTGTTTTGAATCGATCGTACAGGTAATCCAATACTATAATTGTTTATTGACACCGAGAACAAACTCATTAGAATCATTTCTCTTGTGTTCTACATTCAATTATTTTTTCTGTGTGCGCACAAGTTATACATTTGAAATATTTCAGAAGGGTTCCCAAAGTTCGCTATCGTCGGTAATGTATAAGTTGTTATAGTGCCCTGCGATGTTGCGCCATTCGTTCGCCTTGGGTGGTTGCGTCTACCTTCTCCAGTTCACAGCACCATTTCATGTTGCGCCGCCACGATGTGGATGTGGAATAGACGCTGTGGACTAATGCGCGATTAGGTTATATTAAATGTTCGTTAATATTTAGATTACGTTTTACTTTTTGCACCAAAGCCTCGCTACTCGTTTTAGTCAAATCGTGAACCAAATACGGATCTCACACCAAAGCTACATTGTCTTCACATTATAAATAAGCAATTTTTAGGGACGAAGAGATGAATTTAGATGTGACCGATGTGATTGAATGATAATTTTTTGGCATTACCGTAGACTTTCGAAGGGAAATCCCGGTGTCGAGTGCAAATAATTTCTCCATAAACTAGTGTTTATTTACAGTGAAGTGTTGCTTCTGCAGAAGTTGGTGTGAGTTGCTTCGTACATTTTCCGTGAGTTTGTCACTCTGCGTTGTTGAGTCGTTAGATCTTGCTTCATAACTGAGCTGTAATCGACATGAGTTTGTTGCACCTGTTACAGTTAATGCGTAGTTGCGATTGTTACTTAAAAGGCATTTATTTGTTGTTCTCCAATAAACTTTTTGTTCTTAGAAGAAGTGTGTGCTGTACCTCCTGCCTATGGGAATCAATATTGTTTTGCCTGAGGTAAAATACGCTGCAGGTAAACGTAGCCAAATGGGGCCCATTTGTCCACTTCACACTAATTTCTATTAATTGCCAGTCGTTTTGGAAGTTTTGTTACTCAAGTTGCCATTCTGATAGAGATCTTTGTATTGGTAAACATGGACACAATGCAAACGATTGCAGCGCTAGATGTGATGCTGCTTTAACGCCGTACCTGTGACTTTTTGCGCTTGATTTTGATAACATGGGTTCCTAACGATAAAATTTAGCGAATTTCAGTTATTCATAAAATTGCCTGTATTGTGTTGAAGAATCTTTGATCGACAGCTCAGTGCATCTGGGTTTTATTCACTAGTTTTGAAAATATTTGTATTAGATCTACGGCACTTAATTCCAGGCGTTTCAGTGCTCAATAGTGTCGCATTTAATACAAAAAACATATTCCTCGATTTGAAACATTTTTGCATGATTTCAAGGGTGACATGATGCAAGATTATTATTTACGTTGCCTAGCGTGCTGGACATAACGATTTAAGAAACGACCGATGTAGTTGAATGGATTCTTATTGGCATCACCGTCGAATGTGAATATTAAGCGAGTGTGAATTCAATGAGGGGAATATCAAACTAGTGTGAATTTAATGAACTCGTGTCCAGAAGAATGTCCGTACCGACTGTAAGCACTACTCTCTTCTCTTGTAGGGCAAGCCGTTGTGTACTGCAACTGACCATCACGACGTCACCAAAGATGAACCATCTGTTGCTGCCAGTCCTATTCTCTTCGCCATGCCTCCTTTGTGCGAGTCCTTTGGCAACAAGTTGCGCGTGTCTTCAGAAATGTTTGAGGAATCTACATGTGTCCTGAAAGATGCGGCCACCGCAACGCAGCGAAAAAATCCTTGTGCAAATTCGAGTCCTATCAGCGATGAACCCGAGTTGAATGTTCCCCTGCAATGCAGTGCAGCCAGCGAATTGATAACTTGTGAGCCAACGAACTCAGAATCTACTGGAAAACGCGCAGAATACTTGGATACCGTAAATTCTAAAGGACTTGATGCAGAGTTATTAAATTCTTTTCATGGCGTATCTGTAGAAGCAATAGATGAAAAGTTGGATCATCGCTCATCTTGTGGGATCGAATCCTCGGCACTGAATGCGGAGCAAGATAGTCCGCTCTCTAATGCCTCAACTATTCTGTTTGAGCCCTCTTCGGTGCACGTGACATCGCCACTGTTTGCAGATATGTCAACTCCTGGTGTTTCTGAGCAAATCCATCATTCTACAAGCAGGAATGTGTTCGATCTGTCAACGCGAGAAAAGGTATATCCGCCGTCGACTGATGTTCCTAGATTGGAGGCCACCAAGCCGAATGAAAATACTTCGGCTCCGATGTCCATGTCTTCATTAAGTACAATTCCTGAAAATGAGGAGGCGA